TAGAAGAAAATGGAGTGAATATTGGTGGAAGGAACTTTAACAGAGATATGCAGATGATACCACATTACTGACAGAAACAACTCCTTATGAAGGTTAAAGCAGAAAGTGCCAAAGCAAGATTAACAGGTGAACATAAAGAAGACAAAAGTAATGACTACTGAGGAATTAAATGACTTTTAAGATTGACATTGAAGAAATTGAAATTGTTCAGTGTTTTTTATGCCTTGGCTCCTGAACGCTTCCTTGAAGCTAAAACAATTAAACTGAGGCTCTCATACTTTGGTCACATTAGGAGAAGACAGCTCACTTGAAAAGATAATAATACTGGGGAAAGACCCAACATGAGACAGATTGACTCAGTCAAGGAAGCCATGGCCTTCAATTTGCAAGATCTTGGCAAGGCTGTTAACTATAGAATGTTTTGGAGGCCATTAATTCATAGGATCGCCATAAGTTGGAAACAACTTGATGGCCCATAAGACACACATGGGGATTCCTCTACATGTGCTCAGATGGGGAAGGATAATTGTCCATATAATGTAATGTTGTTAACATTTTAAATGTCTTTGTCTGGTGTATGGCTTATGAGCTGTTAAACCTGAATAAAGTTACAAAGCTGTTAACATTTAGTAACTGTAAATGTCAATGTGATATCCTCATTGGAGTGTACTATAGCCCCTGTAGAAGGAGTATACTGTACTATACGAGTGAACTATGGCCCATCTGGACCACTTAGTTTCTATATGAAATTGCTTTTTTAGTTTTCTGTTGAGTGCTGGCTACATCAGTGAAGCATTTGGAGAACAGGTAGGCACTAGTTTTTTTTTCTCTTCTGTCTGTAGCAATGAGGTTATTGTTCATTAATTCTTAACCATAACCTTCTCATGTCAAAATACTGCGAATGCAAGTCATAAAAAGGTCCAAAAGTACATTTGTTAAAGGAACTTTGTATATTGAAAACCTAAAACTAGGCAGTTCTGATTGTGAAATAATACTTTAATTGGCTCTTTTGTAGCTATGATTTTTCCATTGATCAATTCATCTGGCTTGAATAGTTAATTTATTTAAGGCATTCATATCCTGCTCCCAAAGCTACCAGAAATTAGATAGTTAAAATACACCAAAAACAATTTAAATACAAACATAATTAAGGCCAATTGTAATGTTTTTTCCCCATTCCATGTTCCCTTATAATTCTGAATGAAAGTAAAATATTCCCAGAAGAATATCATCAAAATAATACGTTAGTTTGTATGTCAGCTTTGGGCCATTACACACACACATCTTACTGCAGATTTTCAGAGCAGTAAGCCTTTAATCTTTACATCAGATTCTGTGCCTGCCTTACGCACCATTCTTTATCCTCCGGTGTATTTATTCTGCAGCTACAATTAAAAACACACTTTTCTAATTCGGGGGTGGCATCCGAAGTTTTGAAAAAAAATTTACGCAATTGCCCTATCGCAGCTGTGCCAGCAAGTGCCTTCCATTTAAATTCGCATGGTTCAGTTTTACACGTGCATTTTAGTGTTAGTTCATTGAATGAAAAGGTAACAGAAAGGAATGCAGGCAAAGGGGAAACTGATGCTGAAACTGAACAGACTTTTTTTGAAACTGACAAGCAGCTATGAAGCCCCATTTTCCATATTGCCAAGCACTAGGGGATTCTGTTATCGGCCACTGTGAAAAATAGGAAAGAGTCACACAATCTCATAATACGGGAGAACATGTTAAGTGTACAGAATGCACGGTAGAACTCACTGACACTGGCATTGCAAGCTGTGATTGTTGGCAACGTGTGTGTGCGTGTGCCTGTGCAGCCGACTGCAACTCCACCATGCTTTGCACAGGGCTGCAATTTGTATGAGGGAGGAGTCCTCTGGCAGATGCTCTGGAGAGCTTTTTTAGTCTTGTCCCACTAAATTGAAAAAAATGGGGAGGATTCTTGCTGATGCCCTAGCACAGCTGCATAGTAATGCTAATTTCCTGTCCTTCATTGACAAATTTGCATAGATTTCTCTTTGTGATTCTCTAATTTGATCCTGCACATTGGTTGTGATCTTGGCAGTTTTTTTAGAGCCTGTCCTGTGAGGATTGTTCTCTGTCTTCCAAATGGATCGATCCCAAGTGATTCTTAGGGTCGGTGGTTTTCATAAGGACTCAGCCACCATTTTAATGTTAGGCTTCTGGAGACTACCAAAATGGTTCCCCCTCTAAACGTTCACTAAAGCATTAAAGGGAAAAATGTTTTTAGAGCTTTTGGCTTCCTCTCCCAGTGTCTGCCTCTCTCTACGTCTAATGTCAATTTCATTCTGTGCTGACTATCCCCATACTTTATTTTGTTTGCATACAGCACTGAAGTCCTTCCCCCCACCCCCCACACTGGAGACGTTGTTGTTTGCCTCCTCTCCAATCTCCCTTTCAAGTCAATTCCAGCAGGGAACTAAACCTCACACAGCTCATTTTAAACTTTCCCCAGTAGTTTAAATTTTTTAAATTCAGGCATCTGAGACTAGTGATAGTCTTATATTACTAGACTCGTGCCACTTGTAAAAAAAAATTAAACATTTCAAAATGAAGGCAAAATGGATCAAATACACTGATGAAGAGAGGAGGATGGCAGAAGGTGTATAGTAGGTGGAATGACCTTAATGTGGGCAGGGAAGTGACCTTCGAGGGGCAGCAAAATGGCAGGGGGAAATCTGAGGGAATCTGTATGCTTTTGAATTACTTTTAGCTTGGAAGCAAAACAAGGGAAAAATTGGCACAAAAGCACTCTCAGAAGATCCGGGGAAACAACAACCAGATTGCAAACTGAGCGCTGAAGGGAGGAAAATCAATGCAGAACAACAAAAGAAAACCCGACGGACATGCATGGTGAAAGTGAGGGGAAACACTCATGCATTATAGACTGTAGAGAAGTATAAGGGAAGAAATTCCATTTGTTGTTCCCAAGTAGTTTGTATTATAAATGTTGACAGTGAGGGAGATAAGAGGGGGATAGGAGAGCATGTCAGCCATTTACCATTTGATCCTGTGGTTGCTTTATTGTGGCCCCACTCACACGGGCTGGAAAATGCGGGGGGGAGCGTGGCTGTTTTCCCCGGAGCAAAATAACACGTGGCCACCCGATCACATGTCCCGTTGAGGTCCCGTGGTTAGGGCGTGAGGTGCCGATCACACGGCTATCCTGCAGCGCGGCAAAGAAGTGGCGCGGTGCGATCACACCAGCAATCGCTAGGCGCCGCTTCCATGGCAAATGGGAATATTTTTTCTCACCAAAAAGTGAGCATGTGCATGATTGTTTGTGCGCATCCTGTGCAGACTTTAAAAAAACCCTAACCTGTTTGCGATGGGACTAGGACAGGACGCGATCAGACGCCCGCCCTTGGACCGCATTTTCCGGAAACTAGTACATCGTAAGTACTAGTTTTTTACTCCGTATCTTCGGCACGAAGCCACGAGTTCGCCACGGGTGCACTACACTTCACAGATGATGTGGTTTGACGAAGCCACGGGTTTGCCACGGGTGGTGTGATCGCACCCGGAAAATCCGCCTATTATCCGTATCCTTAGCGTGGCAAATGCTCCGTGTTATGTTAAAGACTGTGTACCTGTCTCAGGTTGTTTATAATGAGATTATTAATGGCTGCAAGACAATGTGTAATGTTCTCTTGGAAATCCTCTGTGTTGCTCAATATTAATGATTGGATTATGGATTATAAGGGTACAGAAAATTACTCTTATGTTTAAACTGGCATATCAAAGTACAAATAAAGAAGATATAAATGCTGATAAGTTTATGTAAAGATAGGCTTTGCTGATAATATTATGGGCCATTTTCTCCTTTGTGGGGTTTTTTTTTTTGAGACACTGTAATCAGATAGCTTTTGTAGTCTTTGTTGTTTTTCTCTGGGGGCTTTTGTTACCAACAATTTAAAAAACTTAAAAATACAAGTGTGCAAGCAAATGTAGTTGCATATATTTATATAGTTTCTGTGAAAAATGAAAACTAAAGGATTAAGTTAGCCATCATGAGAATATGTTTTTTGAGGAGGGAGTTTCATGCTTTCAGTATTTTTTTGTTCCTGTAATAATTAGTATGTTCAGAGACTTCAAGTATTTTTACCCCACTTTTCTCCTCACTGAGTACGCCAAGCAGCTTAGAGAAGAACAAAAATATAATTCAGACAGACAAAATACACACACAGACACACATACAGAAAGAAACTCCAGAATTCTGAACTGGTCCTGGATGAACTGGCCTGGCCATTCAGGTCCACAGACTGTCAAGCCAAGGGACAAGACCAGCTATATGAGTTTTCCAGCCAGCTATGGCAAGACTCTGTGACTCACACAAAATGCCTTTCACCTCTGTCCCTAATGAATCTCAAACACCTGTAAGCAGAGGAAGGAACAGACTCTTAGTCCGGGTCTTACTCAGCTGCCAGAGATGTGAATGGGAGCATCGCTTCCTTGGAGCTCAGCACTGGTTTCAGTGTAAAGAATTCTCCTGTTACTCTTGCAATATTTTTCCTCATTATTGCTCACTCATTTTCTTTATTGCTCGTCCTCTCTGTATGATGCTTATCTTCCTTTTAACAGCTTATAATAGTTCATGCGTCATACTATTTAGTAGTCATCCCACTGAGCAGAGAATTCCAGTAGTCTTTCTTTTTAAAAAAAAAAATCATACCAGCCTCCTTGGGACCTCAGAGCTCTATACTGTTTGAATGATTTCATCAGTTAATAAAAGGTTATTGAAAGAGGCTGAGGATGAACTTTAAATAGCTAATCTGTTTCCGTCATGAATTTCTAATGCTACTTTACCGTTCTATACAAAGAAGGTGTTTTCGTTCAGTCGCCTGATGACCTCCTGCTATTCTGTTGGAGCTGCTGTAGGGATGAGTCGCATCAAGGAAATAGTTTAACCATTGTTTTGCTTGATTCAGTTAAAAGTTGAGCCAAATATCTTTTAAGGAGAATCCTTATTTCTGCAGGTTGAAAACTGGTGTCCTCGTTTACCCTGGAGAGCAAAAAATCCTACTGAAGAAATGGATCAAAAGACAATGGTGAGATTTTAGAAGTTAGAGATAACTTTGGTGGAAACGGTCATCACATCGTAGCTAACTAATGGCAAGTCTGTACGCTTTTCAAGGCAAGAGACCACCAGAGATGGGTTGCCATTGCCTGCCTCTGCATAGCAACCCTAGACTTTCTTCGTAGACTTCCATCCACGGACTTACCAGGGACAACAACTCTATTTAGTTTCCAAAATCTGATGCAATCAGGCTCGCCTGGGCCATCCAGGTCAGGGCAGAGAGATCCAAGTACTTACCAGGGACAACTCTATTTAGTTTTCAAAGTCTGATGCAATTAGGCTAGCCTGGGCCATCCAGGTCAGAGCAGAGATACTTTACGAATTTCTAAACACTCAATGAAGTGGACCTTGATGATTGATAATTTGATCTTAATATCCAGTCTGTCCCTCTTTTGGTATTTTTGGAAATGAGTATTTGGAAGGTCTACTCGGAGCAGCCTTTGAAATTTTGAAACCTCTTCCTGCAAAGGCTTGGATGTGTGTTTCACTTTATGTATGGCAGTTTTGTCTACTATGTTAACAAGATTATTCAAGGACTTACGGCTATAGTGGGGACTGTACTGGTGAGGGACACTAAACCTTGCTTTTGCTCCCAGCTTGCATCAATGTGTTATGTTAGTTTAAGCCTTATTCTTCCAGCCCAGCTACTTCCAATACTGGAAACAGGCTGGGAGGAAAATTCTGGAAATAACAGGGTGCAGCAAAGCAAAGAAGGGGCAGAGTTAAGCTCCCCTTACCTGTACGTTGCTGTTCCTGTTTGGAAAAAAAAATACCTCCTTCCACCTGTCCATGCCATGTCTTGCACATGAACAGGAGGGATATGTAAATTCTCTGTAGAATTACATCTAATTTGACAAAGTCAAGCACATTATACAGCATTGGTTGTGCCATGTCTGATGTAACACATTTAAAGAGCCTTTAAGCATAGTCTGATTATCAGTCAAGCACATTATACAGCATTGGTCATGCCATGTCTGATGTAACACATTTAAAAGAGCCTTTAAGCATAGTCTGATTATCTCCTGTTAGCTGACCAACTAAAATCCACTTGAAACATAACTTTGGATGTGTACAGCACATATCTGGCAAATGCTATCACAGAAGTTACAGTTGTTACAAAGCCATAATTAGCTGCAGTTCCCTGTTGAGTTTACACTGGGTGGATGGCGGAGGTTTTGTCACTAAAGTGGTGCTAGCGGCACAGTGAGGTGAAAAACCTTTGGGATATTTGTAACAATTATCCCAGGATTAATATTTGTGGGATTACTATACCTTTTCCTGCTTTGTGGATTTTAATTTTGAAAAACCTGCTTGTAATCTGATGTTCTCTGTGCACATTCAGATATACACATTTATTAATGTAGGAGGACACGTTTAAAGCTAACAGTTCCACTGACTTCTAAATCGTTGTTTAATTGAAGGCTGAAATTCGAACCAATTTTGATTTGCTCTACAAAATGATGTCCAGACATGAAGAATTTAGATGGATGATGCTGAGGATAAGAAGGATGGCTGATACTTGGATAGAAGCAATTAAATCACTAGCTGACAAACAGAACCTGGAGAAGAGAAAACGGAAAAAAGTAAGTTCTGTTGTGCAACAGAAAGTAAACATTTCAGTTGTGTGTGGGAAACTGAAATGCAAAGTCTTCCATAGTTGCTTTACCAATGACAAGCTCTGCCTGCAGGTGTACAAACTAGTGTGTATGCAAGTCACCAGGAATGTGAGGAAAGAATTGAGGTTAGCACATAAATGGCTTGGTTGCCTGGGCAGGTGGTGGCCTGGAGAGTTTCTGTATTATCAGTTATCTAAATGGTAAGTGGATTTCAAACATTACAGCACTCCACATGGAAACACCAATATCTGAAACCATTTTTGCAGCCTCTATGTAGGATGTAAGCACTGTTTTAAAGTCCCTTGGGGGAAACTATGGTGCCCCACAAATTATGTGGTGATGTAATGAGAGAGGATTTGGTTGTAATAGAAGCCAGTTGTGAAAGCTACTGATGTTGGCACTATGGGTTTCACCACATCAATATGCAACTAATCTAGCTGTGCTTAAAATCAGAAAATATTCTACCTGAATATGCACAGAAAAGCAGTAAGCTTCAAAGAATATAGGATATCCTTCAGGGGTATAGTAGTTAGAAGCTAAATGCAGTTTTCTCATAGTAAAGACATAGTGTGATGAAATCTTCAAATGCCTGTCAGATCTCGAAGTATTAAAATGAGTAATTCAGTCAAAGACTAATTACTGAAACCTATTACAGAAAACAAAAGTTATGACTTAGGAACAAATACTGATTTTGTTGTTGTTTGTCAGTAAGTATTAAAGCCCTGGCCGTTTGAAATAATGATGTAGAAGTACTTTTATGGGCAGTTTAGTAGGAAAATCTCATATGGATACATAATGTGACAAACAGGCATCCAATGTATGTATGTAATACAAATACTAATTGTACTGGGGTTTCTTTTTCAGGTTCTTGTTCATCTGGGACTCCTGACAAAAGAATCTGGATTCAAGATAGCAGAGAATGCCTTTAGTGGGGGCCCACTTGGTGAATTAGTCCAGTGGAGTGATTTAATTACATCTCTCTATTTACTGGGCCATGACATTAGGATTTCAGCTTCACTGGCAGAGCTCAAGGAGTAAGGAGATTATTTTCCATTTTGAAACAAGCAAATAAAAAAAATCCTCCCCTAACCATAAACTCTTAAAGTCTCTATTGTACAGTCTATAATTTTGTGAAGAGGAAAATGAAAGTGATAATTCACTAAATGGATGATAAGGAGATTACTTTCATGAGCTAAATATATGCACCGTGAAAAGGATAATATGTTTTCATTGTAGCTTCTTCCTCCTGAGGCTTGATAAATGAACGCTGGAAAATTCAAACTAAGCAGCTTAGTCTCTGCCTTTACAGGTGTATTAAACATCTGCACCAAGATAAATGGTTGGCTTTCATAGTTCATTCTCAGTTTATTTCCCAATAAGAAGTCATAATTAATAACTTTTAATTGGCTGCAACTAATTTGTATTTAATATTAATTCCTTTAGATGTGCTTTGGATTTTGATTAATTATTTGAAAATCCTGTTCTTCCCAACTATATCCTAAAGAAATCATTTGAAGGTTTTCCATTGGCATTTCAGTGGTGTTGAGAAAGACAGCTTTAGTTGCACTGTGTTTTGCATTCTTTTTTTAAATAGGCAAATATTTCATAGTGGGCATTTGGAAGCTGAGCAAAGATGAATTTCAGTTACAGAGCCTCAAAGAATCGTTGAGCTGAATGGGATCTTAACTCAGTGAGCATGACAGACTTTATTATGTTGTGCCTTACCACAGATTGAGAGACTGTTAAATACAGTCTGTGACATTTAGTTGGGGCAGGGGAGATGCATGCAGCCATAAATGGAAATGTACATGCTACGGAAGAATTAGGCATAGTTATCAGTCCAAAAATATGTGATTGACCTGTGGAAAGATTTTTTTTGTGTGGGTTTAGTATTGCTGTGTATTTTTAGTCTGCTGTGAATCTTAACCTGGTTTTATGGTGCAGTATTGGATGTACTTTCTGCCTGTACGGTACCTTCGTTATTTTAAAAGTAGCAAACATTATCTCTTTCTAAAAAGTTTCTATGCATAAATAAATCCATAGTCATTGGAAGTATCATACTGTCCTCCAGCTGTAAATTATGCTGGAAAATGGGACATTTTAGTTTGTGTACAAAACAGCACCATCTTTTTTCTAGAGAGTCTGGTATTAGTTGTGGTTCTCATAGCAGATGAACTGGTTTTCACCAGTTTTATTTGGGGAAGAAACCAATGTTTTTTCAGATTTCCTGGACTGATATGCCCCAGTTTTTCCAGCTTAGAGAAATGCAAAAGAAAAACCTGATCTATATCATAGGCATTCTTTCTCACTTGCTCCCTCCTCTTCCATACACTTGGGTTCATCTTATGGTATCACCCAAGCATGGAGACAAGGTAATTTAGGTCTCTGAGGCATACAACTCATGGGATAGAAAGATCTATTTTCTCTATATATTGGATATTTAGACAGCAATTTAGTGTATAGGCAAGGTACAAGAAGTACATATAATCAGTCTGAAAAATGTGCATGAATGAATAGGAAGCCATATTTCATCAGTGTTGCTTCTGAGGCAGTGTATGTCAGTAAAAGAGAATGGATTTTAACAATGATGGTTTTATATAACTAGTGTAATTTAAGACCATGAATTAAATGTATGATACAACGAACGAGTAATTATAGTCTAAGACGGTTAAAAAAGGTACTCCAAGGTAAAGACAACACAGTCTAGGAAATAAAAATAGCTAACTACCAACAAATTATCAAGAAAATAAGAAACAAATAAAAACCTCAATGAATATGAAGAAGGCTCTCTACCTGATGCCTTAAGCTAAATAAACTAGTTTATGGATTATAATGCTACTTTTGGCAGCTCTCCAAAGACGAGAGACTGTCCTTTAAGAATTCTGTATTTTCTTCATAAAAAGTTCTGACCTTCTCTACCTCTTTTCCACACAAAAACAATGATAAGGCCAAGTTTTAAAAACTTACATGTCAATGCAGGAGTTTTAATGTTTCCCTCTTTTTCTTTTGGCTAGGATTATGAAGAAGGTTGTTGGTAACCGATCTGGCTGCCCAACACAAGGTGATAAAGTTGTAGAACTTATTTACATTGACATTGTTGGACTCACTCAGTTTAAGAAAACCCTTGGACCATCCTGGGTTCATTATCAGTAAGTATAACTCTCTTATAAAAGCATTTTCTTTTTAATAAAAGGAATTGTAGTTCCAGATATACAGGGTGGGATCCAGGCTAAATCTACTAACAGAAGTCAGTTGTGTCAGCAGAATGGAACTTTTATGTGTCCCCACCTCCTGCTGCAGCCCACTAGTCTCCCCAAAATGCTGCTGTTGAGGGACTTGTGACCCCCCAGGAGCAACATGAGGGGCAAACCTGAGATCTGTAGTGGGAGGGTGGAATCAGTGGAAATTGTTCTTCCTCCATCCATTAGAAACTCTAGAATGGATTCAACACACATAGTGCTTTTTAAATCACCTTCTTTGTTGTTTGTAGACGTGTATTTGCCCTTGTGCTGCAAGATGTGTTGATGTTTTTCATAAACTTTTCAATATGATGAAATAATTCTAGCTGGCAATTTAGACACCAGCAATTTTTTTTGTCCAGTTTACATTATTGTCAATTTTTGCTAAATGTCATTTGTCATTTAGCTCCTTGTTTACCCAAGAGGTTCTTTTGTAGTCCACGTGGAATTTGATTATATTGAGTGCATCAGACTTGATTGCCTCTGTGTTCACCTCTAATTTCTAGATAATTGATTAAGATATTCACTAGCACCGCTCTTAGTACAGATCTTCGAAAGTCTTTCTTGTGTCTTGGCAAGTTCCAATGTGTTATCTGTGCAAGTTGCCTACAAGAAGTAGACTGTATTCAAGTCAGTTTAGAGTTACTGAAGCATAAATGCCCATAGAAACATATTAATAGGCCATAAATAGTACTTGTTTTTAACAAGTACAGTTAACTCAGATTGGAGTCCAAATTTTGGAGACTGAGCAGATGCTGTTAGGCATTATTCCTTCCTCTTACCGTATGGATGGCACAAATAAAAATACTGTTATTCCTTTTTCTGAAAGGAAAATAAATAAAATCTCTCAAGTCTTTGGGGGGGGGGGTTTCATTTAGAAAAGGGTTTGAAGGAAGGCCGTTTTAAGCATTAGAAGAAACTTCCTTAACCATTCCATTTTAAGAACAATGTCTAGCAGTGGAATAAATTGCTTTAGAATGTTTTTGAAATGTGTGTTCTCATGGGAAAAAGCTGGATGGGAATTTGTCAGTGATGGATTCAATAGAGAATTTCCTGCCTTTAGGTTAAAAAAAATGTCTTAGATGTTGTATAGAGGTTGCTTTGAGCTCTGTGGTTTCCAGTAACCTTTTTTGGCACTATGTGTGCCCAGAAGAAGTGGGGGGGGGACCCTTAAAATACTGCTCTAGAAATTATGTTAAGTTTCCTTATCTTTGGCTTGCTTTTGTTTAAGAGCAGCTGTTGGAGAGAAAAAATGCATATATATAACAAGTGTGTGCAGGGCTTTTTTTGTAGAAAAAGCCCAGCAGGAACTCATTAGCATAACAGGCCACACCCAATAGCTGAAACTCATTAGCATATTAGGCCACACCCTGCCACCACAGCTCATTAGCATATTAGGCCACAGCCCCGTGTTGCCAAAAGTGTGGTCATCCAGCCACACCGACCTTTTGCTTCTTATTCTGTTTACCTTGTTTGTTGTCAAAAACCAGGGCCTTTTTTTGTAGCAGGGACTCCTTTGCATGTTAGACCACACATGCCTACTGTAGCCAGTCCTAATGAGTTTCTGCTGTTGGGTGTGGCCTGTTATGCTAATGAGTTCCTGCTGGGTGTGGCCAACTCAGGAGCCAGCCGGAACTCTGTTCCTGTGCGTTCCTGTCCAAAAATAGCCGAGTGTGTGAGTACTGAGTGGATGATTCATTTCTTTAACATCAGTTATAAGGCAGTGAGGAGAATAATAAATGCTATATAATGTGTAACTGATAGCTAATTCAGCCTAGCTGTTTTTTGTTAATCCTTATCTTCCAAGAATCTCATCCCATGTCCTGCATTCGGTTTACCGCCTCAGTGCCAAATAGGGCAGCTTTATTCAGATTCTACTTTTCGTTGCACCCTGCACAACATAACCCAGCAAGCTTTTATCTTTGCTGCATGATTTACTGCTGCTGCTGAATATATACATATACACAGACCTTTATTGGCGTATGTACTGCCGAATAATATGTTTGGCTGTGCCTAAGCATACACGGTAATCCAAAAATAATTTGATTGCTGTAAAATGTTTTCACTGAAGGCAGCTAACTTAAGACATTGAATGAATTAGTGCTACAAATGGAAACAGGACTGAATCCTTTGCGATTTCTCAATGTGTTTTTTTGTTTGTTTGTTTTTGTTTTAGATTAAAGCATGTAAATTTGTTCCGGGTTTGTGTGCTCAAATAAGAATGTAGTACTTCCTAAAAAAAACAAAACTCTGGGTTGTCTGAGCTTTTATGAGGATTTCCCCCCCAGCCACTTGTATTCCATGGAAGTATGAAACAATGATGCTAAAGAAAGCTATTGATTACATTTTTCTTTTTCACCCTATGAAGAGCCTGAGCAAATGAGGCAGATCTGGAAGTTTTATGGAAGTATGAAATAATGGCTTGTATCCTGCCAATGCTCAGTAAAATGCAAAGCCTTACTCCAACCCAAGGATCCTTCTTGTAATAGAAGTGGCTCTTCCTACTGCGCTTTTGCCTAATAGCCATTAATTGTTTCAAATTTCAGTGGTTTTTGGGGCCATTTATATTTTTTGTATTTTTATAATTGCATGTTTGTGCGTGTGTGTGCACCTGGAAGTCATGGTGACCTCTGGTGACTGACTCCTACTTTAGGCCTGGAGGATATTCAGAGGTGGCTGAATAAAGACCTGCCACCTCCCACATCTGGTATTTCAAGGAGGTCTCCCATCCAAGTACTTGCCAGAGTTGACCCTGCTTAGCTTCCAAGATCTGACGAGATCGGGCATGCTTGAGCTATCCAAATCAAGGCTGGGTCATTTATACTTTTAATACAGGCAAAGGCTGAATAAAAAGAGCAACACCTGAGCTTGGGATAACAAGGGGTGGTGGAGTGAACCTTCTGGAACCCTAAACTTGCTGGATTTATAATGTAAACTGTCCCTTAGTGTTACCATTATAATTATTTTTTTTATCCTGTTTCACCTGCCCGAGGTAATTGTCTAAAGTAAACATCTACAGTTGTGCATGTGTATAATGATAAATAATTGCTTTTATGCTTACATATGCCAGAACCAATTACAATGTGTTTCTGTTTCAGAAGATGGGGTAGTTTTGTAATTGTTTTGTGTTATTTTCACACAGGTGCATGTTACGAGTGCTAGATTCATTTGGGACTGAACCGGAGTTTAACCATGCTCATTATGCCCAGTCTAAAGGCCACAAAACGCCATGGGGGAAATGGAACCTTAATCCACAACAATTCTACACGATGTTTCGTAAGTTAACCTTGTTTACAAAAACAGTCATCTTCCAGAACAGGAGTTGGAAATAATGTTTCTTCTAGAAGGAAACATAGTGCTACCGTCTCATTTACTTCAAGAATTAAACCTCTAATTTGACTTTAAGCACCCTCAGTAGAAATCGAAGGTGCAAAGGAGGTAACGAAGTAATATTAAAATTTCCCTACTGGTGATGAATTAACTGTACAGCATCCAGTCATTTTTTTAACCTCATGTTGGCTTTTTCTAAACATTATATACATATGTTTTGGGAAGTGTAAGCCCAGATCAGGTATCAGCCCAGTGTTCTCTGTGAAGGCTGTATTAGGAAATGTTAGCTTCCTGAATGTGCATTATTTTTAACTATGAACTCATTTAAAAACCTTGCTTTTTCAGTTACTCACATGCTAACCCAGGTGAGTAACTGAAGGGGGTTCAGATTCCCCCCACACCACCACCCCCGCATGCAATTTTTATGGCCTGAAACAGTCCTGGGTCACTTTCAGACTCACTGGAGAAACCCACATGAAAGCTTATGGGTTTTGCCAGTAGTTGAAATAGGACCCCCAGGATGGTTTTAGTTAGTCACTCCCCCACTATTTCCTCTTACCCTTTCCTGAAAGCCTCACAGCCTTTTCCTTTTCCCTGCTTCCTTCCCTCATTCAAGGTTTGTCAGCCTAGAGACTTCTTGGAATCACAGTGGATCTCCCAAGTACAAAGATCAGTTCCCCTTAGGATTGCCAGCTCCAAGTTGGGAAATCCCTGGATATTTGGTGGGTGGAGCCTTGGAGGGGGCAAGATTTGGGGAGGGAAACCCCCCCTAATGTTTTGGGTTTTTTTTTAGAGATTGGATTTATACCCCACCCTTCACTACCCAAAGGAGTCTCAGAGCGGCTTACAAACTCCTTTCCCTTCCCCTCCCCACAACAGATACCCTGTGAAGTAGGCGGGGCTGAGGGGGGTCTGGAAGACTCTGCTCTTTTTCAAGAACAGCTGTGCCAGAACTATGGGTTGCCCAAGGTCATCCAGCAGGTGCAAGTGGAGGAGTGGGGAATCAAACCCGGTTCTCCCATGTTAAAGTCCGCACACTTAACCACTACACCAAACTGGATCTGTCTAGCCCATTCACAGCTTCAATCACTAGATGTATGTATCCAAAGGTTTGGCTGACTTCACTATTAGTATATAGATATTCTTATAAAATATTTTGAGTCAAGACCTGCTTAAGTGGCATAGCTCACTGCATGACTGTGCATGTTCAGCAAAAGTGATAAAACCCTTTTAAAATGTTTACCATCTTTGTCTTCCTACATTTTATATTTGATTATTTTGAAGTATGTATTAGGTTAAATGTTACATTGAGTGCCCATACTTAAGGAACATTTGACTGTTGTTTTCTGAGAGTGGAGGCTAATTTTTTAACTGGTTTAGCCTTAGAAAGCATTAAAGGTAAAGGTTCTCTTGCTCGAAAGCCAGTCGAATCTGACTCTAGGGTTGCGGTGCTCATCTCCGTTTCAAGGCCGAAGAGCCAGCGCTGTCCGAAGACGTTTCCGTGGTCATGTGGCTGGCATGACTAAACACCAAGGCGCACGGAACACTGTTACCTTCCCACCGAAGTGGTACCTATTTATCTACTTGCAATTTCTTGCTTTCGAACTGCTAGGTTGGCAGGAGCTGGAACTAGAGACGAGAGCTCACTCCATCATGCGGCACCCAAAAAAATATGTGTATGCATGAAATGTTCTATGTTTGTAAAACTTGAATTTTACTTCTGTATTCATTACATTTTAACATTACGTAAGGGAGGGAAGGTGGCATGGTGCAGTCCGATCTTGTTAGATCTTGGAAGCTAAGGAGGGTCAGCTATGGTTAGTGCTTGGATGGTAGACCTCCAAGGAAGACTGCAGAGGAAGGCAATGGCAAACTACTTCTGCTTCTTGCTTTCTTTGAAAGCCCCTTGCTGGGGTCACCATAAGTTGGCTGCGACTAGACAGCACTTTACACACGCACAATATGAAACAAACATACTAGCAGTAAAGTCATTTGAATATGCTATCAAACCCAGAATAGGCACTTAAATGGCCATGAGACAATGTTTTACTTTATTTCAGAGTTAAGAGAATACACAGTTGTATCATTTCAGTCTTCATTGTTGCTTACAGCTCACACCCCAGACAACAGTTTCCTTGGGTTTGTGGTGGAACAGTATTTGAACTCCAGTGACATAAAGCACTTCAATGTCATCAAAAGGCAGAACCAGTCACTTGTTTATGGCAAAGTTGATAACTTCTGGAAGGTCAGTTGCTTTGTTTATACAAATTCTTTTGAATTGATCCCAAAGTTCAAAAGATAAATTTGAAGGTTTGCAATAACCTACTTTTTATTAGTAGCTGGTAAGTGCTTTTTAGGCCAGTGATTGTGGAGACATATTGCATGCTGTAACTTGAACATATAATTGATATTTGAAAAGCAACATCGTACAATTTGAGGTGAATCTTCTTAAGTGTGATGAATATCCATGCCACTACTGGCTTATTATATACACTGCTTCTGTTTTGTTCTTTATGTGGTTTCTTATGTAAGATTAGAAGTAAGTTAGTTTTATTTGTGGATCTCCAGTTAAGTGACATGTCAACCAAGTTCCCTCTAAGCTGCACTAGGGGGCACTGGCACACAGAATTTTAGCTGGCAGCTCAGTGATTTTTGCATCAGCTCACAAGTAAACTGAGAAGGCATTTTTCCTTCCATTGAAAACAATAGATGATGGGGGCATCTTCTGGGGCCCATAGAATTGGACCCCCTGGTCCAATCTTTTTGAAACTTGGGGGGGGGGGTGAGGAGAGGCACCAGCAACTATGCAGCAAATTTGGTGCATCTACCTCAAAAAACGGCTCTCATAGAGCCCCCAATATCCCCGGATCAGTTCTCCATTATAGCCTATGGGTTCCATTGACTATAATGGGCCCCATAGCTGTAAAATGGAGCTGGAAAAATCGATATTTTTTTAACACCCCTATTAGGCTTTTCAGTATGATTTGTAAGCTGCCTGAAGTCAAAGGGAAAAGTGGGATATAAATATTTGAATAAATAAGTAGTTTGGACAGGTTAATAACATTTAAGCAACTTCCTGTTTGTTGGGTTAGGCAGGTTTTGACAGTGATTGTTCCATTTCTGTTATATCTGATCTGTAATGCTGGTTGTCATATTTCACTTTAAAACACACACACACACAAAAGCA